AGCTGGAACCAACTTCCAAGGGAAGTGGTGCTGGCCCCTACCCTGGGGGTCTTTAAGAAGAGGCTGGATGCCTACCTGGCTGGACTCATTTGAGTCCCGTTTTTGTTTTGGGGTTTTGTTCTCCCGCCCTGGCGGGGGGTCGGGCTAGAAGATCTACTAGGTCCCTTCCGACCCTAAATCTATGAAACTATGAAACAGCTCCTTATTGCTTTATTGCTTTTCATGGATCTTGGTTAGCATCGCATATATCTGCTGGTAAATATTTTTAAACATAAGTGTCTTTAATTTTTTTTTAAACATTCTATGTTTGGTCAGAGCTCATGGACAAAGTTGAAACAATAATGTATCTGAGGAGGGACGTGAAAGACTTCACACAGAAATTTCTGTGAAGGCAGGCAGTGAAAAATGCTGACGCACAAGACCAGGGGTATGGTATGAAGCCCTAGGGCCCCGCTGAAGCAGGCACACAGATGAGTATTGAAGGAGAAAGCATATGAGATTGAGGGAGTTGGGAAAATACTGGATGGACTAAGTGGGTGCTGAGCTGTGCAGCACTTAACCATATGACTGCCATGGGTAAGTACAGATAATGTACAGAATTTTGACTGTGACTATAATCAAGAGGCATACCCTAGTTTTGGATACCTGATGTTCAGAAAATAAGAGCTATACTGTACTTGGTTTTAAACTGTATGTGTGATCTTCAGATTCTTTTTTAAACAAAACTTTGGGGTCTGAAACCATGGCTTTAAAGTGCTTCAGTTTTTCTCTGGTTAAATCATGTTCTCAAGTGCCTCTTTTGGATCCTCCCATTTAGAACATTTTCCCAGTGTTTCCCATTGTGAAGGAATCTTGCAGACAACTGATAAGCACAATGCCTTCCAAGCACAAGTTTAAATCAGCATGCTGCGGATTAGGATATTAAAATGGTAACAGATTCCATGAGGTATAAGCCCAGTCAAAAAGTAATTGTGCAAGGCAAATAAGGCAGAAAGCAAGCACATTGTACAACAACTCTTTTAAACAGTTCCTGGCAGCTTGGTTTTTATTTGGTCCCTGTCAACAGACCATAATTAGGAGTTTAATTGGGTTTGGGCTTCAAAATAAGGAAGAACTGCTCCAAGCTAAGCAGTGAATATCACTCAGGAACTTCATGAATGTAATATGTCTGGATGCACCCCAAATGGTGTGCCATATCAGATCTCACTTACTAAGCAGAATCAGGCCTGGACAGCATCTGGATGGGAGATCTGAAGTCTCTAAGATCCTGTATTTGCTACCCCCCAAAAGGTTAAAAACTAATGATACACAAATCATGAGGCATTCTTTTTAAAGTGAGATGGTAGGTTGTATTTTTGATCTGTGTTTTAATTTTTCTGATTTTTCCCCTTGCAAGTTTGTGTCCTATTGTCACCAACTCTGTCAGATGTAGTCGTGGTTCTGGCTCCTGTAGTTGCCTGTCCCCACTGCCTACCAGTTAATTCGGCCCTTCCATCAAATCCGCTGCCATGTCTCCCCAGATTCCATGCGCTGATTTTGCCCACATCGGTTCTTCCCCTTTGCTTCACCTCCTATAGCTCCAGAAGCTTCTTTCTCAGGCCTGGCATTGCATGGAAGGACAAGACTGGGGAAGGAAGAGCAGAGAGAAAAGAGTCCCTTCACCCACAGGGAGGGAGGAAGGTAGAAGAGAGCTGCCCTGGTCGTGATGGAATAATTCATGCTGTAGACCAGCAGTGAGGGCGAGGGCACTTACCTGGAACGTGGGACCATTGGAATCAGGGCCTGTTCTGATGAGTGGATATGCAAAGCAGTGTCTCCCCTAGGGAAGTCTCAGCCCAGAACACCCCATAGCTTAGTATTTTGGAATTCATCTGCTACAAAGTAGGAAGAGTAGGGGTTTGAACCGAGGTCACCCACATCCCAGATGAGTTCCCAGACCACCAGGACAGATGCACATGTCACAAATCAGAAAACTAGGCGCCTGCAGCATTAGGGGATAGCAAAGTGGTGGTTTTGAGAATGCCAGTGGCTCTTAAATATTGGGCTTAAGGCACCTAAAGAAGAATTAAAAGTGAAGGATCCAGGACACTCTAATCATGACATGCAATTGTTGCCAAAGT